TAAAGAATCAATTCTGAAAATATTGTGTAAAGGCTTATAAGCACTTTAATATATCAGCAGTAAAGGCGCAAAGAAACAAAGCAGAGGAGAGACTGACAGGTAGAGTGACAAACTAAAACTAAGCGGCGACGTATTGGCCACACCATGCCTGAGATATATGATATACTTGAGATAATGTATTCGTAAATTCGTAATGTATTCAAGTGCTGCATATGTCACGTCATAGGCACCATGTCCTTTTCTTGACTTCGACTAAAGTTTTATTAATCTTTGTGTCTCTTGCCATGTCAACCAACATGACGGCGGCGCCTTTTGTCTTTTTCTTCTCATGGGAAGGGATGCCGGACGCCACCAGTACAAAAGACTATGTTTTTAATAGATTGTGAGTAGGTACTATAGAATGCATCAGACATATAACCATGTATGTGGGACCACGCATGGAGCGTCTTAAAACTGGACGTTTAGAGTTGAAAATGCAGTATAATTGTTGAGTATTTTAATAAAGATGAAATTTCGTGAATATTAGCTAAAAGTATGGAGGCTAAAGACAAGGCTTAGGACCATCCATCCACTTGCTCATGCATGACTTCAGTCACCCCTTACTTAGTGGCGGATCCAAGGGAGGGATGCAGGGGGTGCGCAACCCTCCATAGTTCAACTCTGTGCCCCTACTTCGAAGATAACCAATGCAAAATAATGTTTTTTCCCTTCGATTCTAACGGGTGCACCCCTCCCTGGGTTAACTTTGTGCAGTGCACCCCTCCCTGAATAAATTCCTGGATCCGCCCCTGTTACTAAGCGGCCACCCTTGGGGTATTGTCAAGTGTACTTGGTAATGTATATATTTACATCTTACAGTAAGTAATCAATAAAAGTTCATGTTTCATATCTAGGAGTCCATGAATAGTGCGCCTTCCCCGTTCCGTCCCTACTATAGAGGGCAATATCTACTTCTATTCGATATCCAGCATTTTTTCGTAAAACATTGCTCTATGTGATGACAACAACGATGTTACAAGTCCCATCTGCGAACTACTATACCTCATATGACGTCGTACCATATATTTCAGTTAATCTTAAAAGTTCTTTTTGGTTCATGTTATGCTCGTCATCTCCTACGTACATCAGTTGAAAATATTAATATTTTGATCAAATGAAAACGAAAATACAAAAAGACAGAAGAGTCACTTCTCGTAGTAACATCATCACTCCGCGAGATGCTGCCGTAAAATAGTCCAGTTCTGTACAAGCGAAAACAGTGACGCTTGCAGCTATTGACTAGATCAAGCAAATCGTTTATACATATTGATGGTTTTCACGGTGGCCATGTTGGAGGAACGTAACAAAAGAATTGTCAATGAATTCTTTTGTTATATCCTCCAACATGGCCGCCGTGTCTTTTGTTATTTAATTCTCTTGGGAATGGTTGAAAACCATCAATATACTCAATAATATGTTAATCTTTATGACCATCGTTTTCATCATTAGCACTATTCTCTGTTCCTTCGCTGGCAGACCTGTTGCCACGGACAAGCTCCATCACGTCTAAGCTGTTTTCCAGCTCTTCAAGGTCTTCTTGGGTGTGGAGTCGATCCTTGGCGAATTCTCTGAAATCATCTTCTTCTTCTTCTGCGTCTATGAAGAAAAGAATATAAAAGAATCGTTATGTGTCACGTATTGTTTTCTTTCGCTATAACTGACTTAAGATTTGTAATTTCATTCAATCCTAGTCTACTACACAGCGCGCTATTATACTAATAGCGGCTGCATAGAGCGTTTTCACTCACGTGAGAAGGCAGCCATAAACAATAGAAACATCGGTATCATCAACACTGCATCATCATCATCATCATCATTATCATAATCGTCTAATGTATTTGTTGATAATTCTTACTGTCATCATTATATCATCTTCAAGATACATGAAATTCTAGTTTTAAAACATATTGGCTGCACGGCCCTGAATCGTTGGTCAATCCATCTCGATTCTTGGAAATCCAGGTACAAGCATGCATTATCAAGGGCAAATGTCTAGCGATTTTCACTGCGTCTCCCCCCTCAGAACAAGACCTAATGGAACCATTGATATACGATAACAAAATGTCAAGAATGCAACCTTGGAATCCTATCTGAGAGTTCAAGGTGCACAACTTGCCAATACCAAAGAAGCTTTTGATAAGTCTAGTTTCGTTTTCGTGATAGTGGTTTCACGTGCTTTTATTAACGTTTCCTGTTTGGATTCGTCACCAACCCCATGGTCAAGAAAATTAGTATTTCTTAGGTTATTGCTTTCAAACAGCTAACATAGTTGTGTAACTACGTAACGGCCGTCCAAGATTTTGACAACATTTAGCTGCACATCAATGTAATATAATGTAAACACTTAAAGTTTGGTGAAACATTTCAATGTTTTGCTAGAATTTTTCCATGCTAGAAACACGAAAATCCAAGGCAGAATTTAACCGATAATTGATATATAAATAAGTTTAATTTCAAGAAACTGAATAAGGAGATATCGCGGGTAAACACTGACTGATACTTTAATACCTGGGTCCTGTGTATTGTTTAAGTTTTGATCTGCACTGATAACATCATGGATCTCAGCTTCTTTTGTCTTTCTTTCTTTCTTCTTTACCAAACGAGATTTATTCCTGCTCCAATCGTCGTATGCTACAGTGAAGGCCCTAGTAACGGCAAGGCAAATCGCTCGGGCTTTTGCTTCTTTGCTGCAAAGGAAAGCGTGACAAAACAACTTGCCATCCTTCTCGGCGATGAACGTGAAGACCTTCGGATGCTTTTTGATTGTAGTGCAAAATGCAATGTTCTGCAATTGAAATGTGTCCTCCTGAACCTTACCCGAAGGGTCTGACAGCGAAAGTCCACGAGAAATATTCCTTGAAATCAAAATTTCAATTTTTCGTGGCCTTCTTCCAGAGTTCTTATTGTGAAGGAGCTGTTCAGTGTAGCTAGAACACAGAGAATAACCAGTAGTTGGGCTAAAGTTTTCTGTTACAACCGCTTTACCTAAGTATCTTGCTGTAAACAAAGGCTCCGATGGATTAAGATCATAACTAGTTTGCTCTTTCTCGACTGAGATTTTTCTTCTTATTGTCTTTAGCTGCTCCATGGTTGACACAAGGAAGGAAGCTTATTCATTCATCTACATACAGGACTGTGTGCAGGGTATATTAATGCGTGTCATTTCTCAAATTACTAGGACAAATCACGTGCAATGGACTATAACTTTGGTTTCATGTATCTGTTTTCAAGTGTTTTGACTATTAGACTTAACTCGTTTTGAATTGAAAATAATAATACGACCACTAAGTAGCAATGTAGCATTTGCTATCACGAAGACTATCAAGAGGACAGAAGTATGCTAGGGCCACTATTAAAACCACTAGCACCACCAACTGAACAACAACGACAGCAGCAGCAACACGAGCAACAGCAACAGCAACACGAGCAACAGCAGCAGCAATTACAACAACATTCAGCAATCGTGACAGCAATAGAACTGACCTACATCACGAAGATAAAAATTGAAACTAAAAAAGTCAACATATTCGCCTTGGGCAGTAATTAAAAAAACCCACAAAACATGCCACTTTTGTCTGGAAAAGTTGCCACTTGACCTTCAACAGAAGCGTTATTTGGCAAGTTGGTATAAAATTAGTCTTGGGCTTCCTGTGTCTCAGAATATCGATAGAAGCCTGAGAGCGGTCGGTACTTCATGTATGACCACACGAATTGGCACTATCTTGGGGTTGTGTGTTGTGGTAGTGTTGCATCGTTCGGTGTCAGCGTTAGTGATCCGTGTAGGTGCAGCACATGTAGTTGGTGTAATACCCGTAGTACCCGTGGTACCTGTAGTACCCAAAGTGCCTGTAGTACCTGTAGTATCCGTAGTAGGTGTAGTAGATGTAGTACCTGTAGTATCCATAGTACCTGTAGTACCTGTAGTAACTTTAGTAGGTGTAGTACCTGTAGTATCCGTAGTACCTGTAGTACCTGTAGTACCTGTAGTAGGTGTAGTAGATGTAGTATCCGTAGTACCTGTAGTTGGTGTAATATCTGTAGTACCTGTAGTATCTGTAGTAGGTGTAGTATCTGTAGTATCCGTAGTACCTGTAGTATCCGTAGTAGGTGTAGTACCTGTAGTATCTGTAGTACCCGTAGTAGGTGTAGTACCTGTAGTACCAGTAATACCTGTAGTACCCGTAGTAGGTGTAGTATCCGTAGTACCTGTAGTACC